CATGTGGCAATGCCAGAATGCACCAAGGAGCTCAGCTTAAGGCGACTTATGTCATGGGATTCTTACTTGGAAAGAACTTTATCTTGGAGCAAACAAGATAAACAATTCCTGACCATTCTCTTGACAATCTGTGCCAAGCACATTTGTCATTTATATCATCATCCATATACAATTGCTTTCATAACACTAAGTCAGACAGGGAAACAATTGGATTGCTGAAGGCACATTTATTGCCTATACAGCCTGTTCGTGTATGAAAGTTCTTTCCAATTTCACAGAAAAACCCAGCACAACACTTAAGACACTGCTGTCTGTACTGCTACACTGAGTTGCATCAATGAGATTACAATTCTCAAGATTATTTTTTTAATAATATGTGAAAAATCATATTGTGTATGATGTCCAAGACTTGGTATTTTAATACTGTCTACTTGTTGAATCAAATCTTAAAGAGATCGGCAGAAGGTAGTTAAATGACCATGATTAAAATTCTTGTCAGCAAGCATCAAGCTCAACAGATATCTCAACAATGACATAAACATGATTCACCACATCAGGATATCCTTGATTGTTTGAGGCTTTGAAATATTTACAGCAATGTTCTCTAATGGATACAAATATAAGAATATACAAATGGAAGTTGACTCTGGGTTTTTGATTGCTTATTGTCAGTGAAAATGCAACCCATCTGTTCTTTTCATGTTGCCTTTCCAAGTATTCAGCCCATTTTGAAGCATCTGGATTTAGAGCAGTCAGGTTATTGGTTCTGCCAAAGGAAATGTTCACTCATGGCTACTGGCAAGGAGAGAAGGATGAGAAACTCTCATCATTACTAAAGTATGTACTGTTAAGTATCAGTATCTAAAATGTTCACATTATTAAAGAAGAGGGATTGAAAAAGTCACATAATGGTTTCCCCAGCTGTCTTCTACAGACATAGGGGACTTAAAAGATCATCAAGATAACTCTTTCTGAATCTGACAACAATGATGATCCACATAAAGACCAGTAACATACCTTGAGATTGGTGGCTAAAGATCACTACTGAGTAGAATACCTCATTGAACCAGGGAATATTTGTCTGATCACCCATACAAAATTGTACTGTACTTGCTGTATCCAATGTAGCAATACAAAAGCAGAACAGCATAAGAATTTGTGGAAATTATAAAGGCTCTGTTAACAAGGCAGTTATGAAGCATCTGTGACTTGTGATCTTACCAAATCAACTTCTTGATGCTTTTGCCAGGATCAAGTGTCCAAATTTGTCAAGAACTTATCATCAGAAAGACACTGCAGATGGTCATGAAATCATGAGTTTGAGATAGACACCTCCAAATCAGAATTCCCATTTTAGTTGGGATTTTTTTTCCAATACCACATGGAAAATGGTTTCCAAAATTCCATATGGTACCATGCTTTTTTGATGTCCTTACTTTGGCTTCATCTGAGAAATAAACTTCTGAGCAGCTTTCAGAAGTTTGGAACTATATGGCATCCACCTGAGAGAAGATCAGATAAACTCAACTCACAATGCCCTGGAGTCAAAATCCAAACATCAGGCTTGTACGTACCTTTCTGACACTGAAGTTCTATGGATACCAATGCAAAAATAGGCAGAAGCATTCAAAAATAGTAAGAAGTCACTGAGAAGTGATTCTATCCTTTCTAATATGACAAACCAAGACATTTAGTGATTATCTCTGACATTTTGACATACAACATTGGAGCTGTTCTCAGCCTTGCCCAACTTAGATGGGCCTGAAGCACTGAAAAGCCTACTATCCAGTAACATTGACACTAACTGAACAAAAATATACAGAAGCAGACACAGGAGCATTCATCAGTGGAATAAAAAACCCAAAACCAAACCCAACTGTAACTATGGCTGTAGTAGCTTGTTTGTGGTTTGTGTGGAGTGAAATACAGTGCTAAAGAATATCCCTCTCTCCCCAATGACTAGTTAACTCTTCCATTTGAACCCCCCCATGCTATTAAATATTATACTAAATACTGATCATTCATTACAGGCTTACTTACATGCCAAGAAACTCAATCATGAATGCGTTGTGCTGGCTGCTGTGGCATATTCAGACAGACTCAAGTCTTGAAAATGACTCTCAAAGTTCCAACAGCAATGTAGGCTTATGCAGACGTGAAGGGGTACCTGATTAAGAAAACCATCTGGTGAGCTCAAACCATTTTAACCTATAAACTCATAATGAAATGCCTTTACGGCAGGCTATGCTGAAAGGGATTAGCTGATCACTTTAGCTACATCAGAAGCAGCACATCCAGCTACCATGCAAATTGAAACTGTTAGCCAAAAGTTATGTCTAGCAACTCAGAACTGCAAACACACAGAAAATGATAAACACCAAAATTACTTCTGAAGATACAGTGAGCCACTTAATTTTTCAGTATTTCTCTGAAAAAATGATCCAAACCCCATGATTTAAGATCTCTATTGATTCTAGACTATTCACAGACCCCTTTTGGGGGAGAGGAAACCCCCAACTTTCTGGTATGTAGTCTTACTTGAAATGACTTATGAATTTAGTGTCATTGCAAACATCTGCTGTAACATTCCCCATCCTTCAGCAATTGTCTGTGACTCATAGGGTTGTGTATTTGCTAACTGGAGTGTTTGCATCTCTTGGACTCAGGAATTTAACCAAAACCAGCTGCATCTGAGCCTTCAACATTGCACTGTGCTAAGTGGAGTCAGACTACATGGAGGCCTTACAGCAGCCTTCTCAATAAAACTGAGTTTTCCTGAAAAACAGGCTAGAACAGTTACCATTTCAAATTATAAGGCTCTGAATGCCTTTGATAAAAAAAAAAATAGCAATAGGGGAAAAAATAAACACAACTCTCCACCTACAGCATCCTCACAGCACAGCCTTTTAACTTGGGGCACATTTTCCTCTCAGCAAACCTCCATGGCCCCAGCCACTCTCTGCACAATTTCAGGGTTTTCAGGACTCTCACCTCTGGAAAGGTATATCTGCTCCTTATCTCTTCCACCAGCACTATGGCATACTATACTGCAAGCTCCCTCGCAGCATTTTCCATTTCAGTCAGCTACATTCCACCTACACTTCCCCCCCCCGCTTCCAGAACCTTCCCTCCCCTGCACATGCCCAGGTGCTCTGAGGGAAAGCCCCACCTCTCCTTAGGGCTCCACCCTCACAAAAGGTAACTGCTATGAGGAAGCAGGAGGTGGTTTTCTCCCCTACTACTCAGTTGTTCTCTTTTAAGGTAAAAATACTATAAAATACATGCTAAATTGCAGAAAAGTGGACAAAAATAATAATATATATATGTGTACTGCCCCTTGTACTTTTTTTTAAAAAAAAATTGAGTGGGGAGATGGGCTGGTATTACTTGTCAGGTGCTGTGTTTTGTGACATGCTACTTATACAAATACCAGAGAGAGCCTAAACAATGACTTTCATGGGGAAATAAGCTGAGGTACTATTAGTGTTAAAATCTACCTCATGTTCCTGACCATCAGGAGGATTTATGTTTTGTCAGAAGATAGGGAGCTGCCTGAAGGTGAGTTTCCCTCACCGGTCACTGGAGGAAGGTCCTGACTGCTGAAGGGCGAGCGGGGCTCTCCCCTGTCAGCAGGCCAAGGAAGCCATGCTCTGAAGCCTCCCTGCAGCCCCGGCCCTCTGGTGAATCCCTCAGATGCCTCTTTTGGAGTCAGTCATCACCCCGTGATCCGCAATGCCTGTGGTCAGTCTGTTGGAGCTCCCTGAAGCCATCGCTCAGAGGGGATGCTTGCTGTAAGTGGTTCAAGGAGTGTGTGGTGGGACTGGGTGCTGCCTGGCTGGTTAACACATGCAGCAAAGTGGAAATGGCACGTAAGCATTGGGTAATACCAAAGTTTTTTATGCCAAAGTATAAATGTCTGTCAGTGATGCTGGCCTGTGTGAATGCAATGGAGTTTGTTTCAGGCCTGAGGCTGTTTTCTGTCTCAGTGTTGTGTGTGTTGCTACTGCCTGCAGCACTTCTCTTTGTTCTCCTCTACAAGCATGGCAACTTGACTGAATTTTAACACCAAATTTTACTACTGTGGTTTTAAAATCTGTTGTGAATAATCAGAATATTGAGATGTCTCAAAAAAAAATCTTGTTAAACTTTGGGTACCTGCTGGTAGGAAAAAATTGTAACAGCTGTCAAAGATTGTGTTGTCTTTACAGCTGTCCATACTTTGAAGCATACGTCTCTGTGTGTGAGTGAAAACCTCCCCCAGCCCTGTGTCCCCAATGTCATTTGAACCTAAATCTTCTTTATTTGTAACATGCAATTTTGAAACTCTTAGCTGAAGTGCATCACAATAATTGAAAAACTAATAAAACATAAAGGTATTTATGTAGATACAGTGTATCAGACTGAATTCAGCTATGGGGTTGATTTAGTCGGTTTTGATTATTGATAGTTTAGTCTTCATTTTCCTTAAATTCTTTGCTGTCATTTATTCAAAAGAGTATATGCTGTGCTTTAAAATCCAGTTACCATTGAGGTGTCAAAAAGCATCATCTTTTTGATGTAATTTAAAACTAGCATGCTAAGAAGATAAGTTCAGTTCATATGTTCTAGGCAAAGAACAGGAAATTACATAATAAGAATTTTTTGGGGGAAATGTTTTTCATTTTGTAGATCAGTAACAATTTTGTGGAGTTTGCTGAGGTGTTTGTTTTTTAATTTTTGTTGGCTGTAAGTATTATTGTTTTAAATTTTAGAGGGTCAACAGGCACTTTGCTATCTCTGAATAATGCTTGAATAGAGGACAACGATCACCTCCCTTGACCTGTTGGCAGCTCAGTGTATCATTAGCCTTCTTTGCCATAATAGTGCATTGCTGGCTCATGTTCAGCTTGGTGTCCACCAGGACACCCAGGTCTTTTACAAAACTGCTTTCCAGCTGGGCAGCCCCACCATCTACTGGTGCCTGGGGTTGTTCCTTTCCAGGTGCAGGACTTTGTACTTACCCTTGCTGAACTGCATGAGATTCCTGCCAGCCCACTTCTCAAGCCCATCCCGGTCCCTCTGGATGTCAGCACAACCCTCTGGCATGTCAGCCATTCCTCCCAGTTTTGTGTCATCTGCCCCATTATCCAGATCATGAATAAAGATGTTAAACAGGACTGGACCCAGTGCTGACCCATGGGGTACACTGCTAGTTACTGGCCTCCAAATAGATTTTGTGCAGCTTCATCAGCTCGTCTATGAGGATCTTATGGGAGACAGTGTTGAAAGCCTTACTGAAGTCTAGGTAGACAATATCCACTGCTCTCTCCTCATCTACCAAGCCAGTAATTTAATCACAGATTGTTAACAAGTTGGTCAAGTGTGACTTCCCTCTGGTGAATCTATGCTGACTACTCCTGATGACTTCCTTGGCCTTCATGTGCTTGGAAATGGCTTCCAGGATTAGTTGCTCCATCACCTTCCCAGGTACTGAGGTGAGGCTGACCAGCCTCTACTTTCCTGGGAGCTTCCCTTAGAGGAAGTACCAAGATCCCACCTTGTAGATCAAGTGTTCCAATTAGTTACTTTCAAACAAATGTTGCTAACCTTCAGTTTGCTACTGGAAAAGCCTGACCCCTAAAAATCTCTTTCTGTGGCTTAGTGGAGTATTTTGATTCCTTAAGTATGTCTTAAAATAACAGCATCTCCAACATTCAAAACATTCCAGGAATTATACTCAGTTGCTCTGATTTCTTTGCATATCTCTCGTCAATTGTCTTTATATTCTTCCATAAGTATAATGAAAGTAGTTCCTTAAAGAGAATTGTTACTATTAGTTAGTAACCATCAGTTGCTCAAATAGCTAAAACAAATTGCTTTTTTATTCTAGTGACCTTTCCTTCCTGCTGTCTGAGGACATGACTTCTGGCCAAGATCCCAGCAACCCTCCCTCAGCTCTCTCCTCATCCCTTTCATGTGCCAAGGCCTCCCTTAGTTCTGGACCATGTGAAAATATTAGATGCTCTCTGCTACCGCCTACTGCGCAGGTGCTCTGCCCAAATGCCAGGCAGAAGGACTGGAATCCCTGGGAGACTAGCAATTAAGAAAAAAGTTGATGCCTCTAGCCTAAGGCAGGGAAACTTTCAAGGCAGCAGAGATGGTAAACAGCATTCTGTAGACAGGTCAGACCTAGAGGTCTCCTACAGAGCTTAGACTGGATTCCTAGCTCTGAAATCATGCGATGTAGAGGCTGTTCCTCTTTTAAGGCAAGCTTTTCCTGCAAGGCCTAAAGTGCTATGACTAATTTGCAAGATCTGGTTTCCCTGCCTTCCCTTGAGTTGCACAGCAAGGTGACTTCTACTTTAGGATAGGGACCTATCATTCAATCTCTTCTATTCCCCACTTCCATTATTAACTCCCACTATCACCAGCACTGTTCCTTTATACTTCGTAAGCAGCGTATGTTTAACACTGTTCTGCCAGGCAGGAAGAAACTTATTTGTGCCAACCCAAAGATGAGGATACTAGGAGAGGAAGAGAGAGCATTGGAACTGCATCTGGTTTTACTGATTGCTCAACTGACGAGAGTTTATGGCAGGACCTGTATCTCTCAGGGTATCCCTAGCAACCATTTGCCAGCACAAAACAGCTACTTCCTCTGCACCAGCCTGTACTATGGAAAACTAGATATCGGTCTACAGTTGTTTTATTCACTTTTAAAAGCTGTCACTCAGAGTGACTGGCTGCTTTATCACTGCCAAAAGCAAACCCTGATTGAGCAGCCATCTTCTCCCAGTGCTCTGCTTCTGTCACCTGCTCCATGTAGCTTTGCATTGTCTCTGCTGTGTACGCTGAGTAGGCACAACAGAGCTGCAGCCATTTCTCCTGAGAACTTGGTGCTGCTGGAAAATCATTCCCACATCTTCATATGTGGTAACAACTTTGAGGAAATATTGACCGTTTTGAGGTTTGGCCCCTTTAAAGACAAGGAGGATGGCAATCATTCTGAATAAAACATTTATGAATGGCGGCCTATTATCATGTTTCTTTGGGGTTAGTTTGTAACAAAAGGTTGACATCATTAGAGCACTGCACAATTTATAAACCTGTATAGTATGCGAAGGCTAGGATGGAAGGAAACTAATTTGGTGTGCACTGCCCCCTCTGAAAAGCATCCCCTCCAAAGAGTATGTAGTACTGTACAACTGCTTCCTCTCTGTGAAAGGAAACCCCTAAAATTGCAGGAGTAGGAGGTCGGATATGCCAAACCAGGAGGTAATTTGGAAAAAAAAATCCCTTCATTAAACATAGCAAGTACTTATGATGCAAAGGGGCAAGATATATTTTTACCCTTCTGGTCTATTGGGTACAAGATAAATAGGTAATTAATACGGAGCTTAGTGACCCTTCAGATTCACATTAGCTTGTGTGTTTGTGGGTCTTCATTTCTGCTTGAAAGGCTTGGACATGACTTTCCCTTACCAAGCAGCCTAGGAGAGGACTATCATTCTGTGTTGTGGTAATTCGTATGAAAACGCTGTCTTCAGAAATTTGGCATAAGAAATATGTACATAACCTCCCACATAGCTAATCATGTATTTCTGTGAGCAGAAGTAAAAAGATTTGGTAAATGGTATAATAGCATATAATAGATAAATGGTGTAATAGCAAAATTTTCTCTTGTCTGGCTAAAAGCAAAAGTTTCTTATTTTCCCTCAGCATGGGACCGGAAATCCGTTTTATCATATGGAGAATCCGTGTGCCTTGGCAGTTCTGCAGTTTAAACTTGATTGCCCACCCAGAACTCCCTATTGTAATCCTCAGGTAGACTTGGCTGCTTCTGCATGCACTCCACTGTCCCTTAATTGATTAATATTGCTTCATTTATAAAGTTCTGTAGGCAAAGGTGACATTTCTATGGTTGCATTTGGATGGTGTTTGAAATATTGTTGAGTACAGAATGGCTGTCACATTTGACAGCACAGTAGCAGCACTACCTGTTTTTTATATGCAATTGTGCAAAGTGAATTGGGCATTTCTGAGTTTGAAAGCCAAAAATTCTTCTTCAATCCACTTACAAATTAATTATTTAGTTAAAAATGTTCATAAGTTTTCATTTCTGGCTTTACATATAACAGGAAAAAATTGGACCTGACATACAAGACAAGCTCTACTGCTTCATAGGAGTCATCCCCTGGATTTACACAGGTGTAGCACAGCAACTTTATCTACTTGTGAAAATACATTTATGCATATTGATACATTATATTTATTGATGTAAGAACTGCACAAACATAACTGATTAGTAAGCAAGACATTGCTGTGTACGTTATTGGCAGTTGAAGAGTACGTGTGCCTAGTGATAGCCGCTTGGATTTTTTTGAATTTCTGCTTATATATGAGCAAAGACATAACTTGTAGAAATCTCATCACCAAATCATTGAATATGCCTGCAGTGAATTTACCACATTTAATTTAAATTTATCCATTATTAGTCAGGTGATAAAAGGAAACAAAGAGCTGGGGGGAAAAAAGTAAATTTTTTTTTCATTTTGCTTTAATTATCTTTAAGAAAGGCAAACACACAGTTTCAGTAAAAGTTATCTTTTCCTGTTTTTTAAGATTTTAGATATTTAGTGTGATCTATTATGATTTTAGCAAATGTCATCTTAATAGTCCCATGTTTCTTTATCTGGCATGTTTAAAAGAAAACTTAAAAGCAACGAATCAAGGCCTGTTTTACATCCAAATTCAAGTTTTGGAGTCACTATCCTTTCACTATTGGCCTCTTGGACCCAGGCAGAGCCTCAAAAGGAGTCTCAAGCCTGAGGCAGCATGGAGTGCCTGCAGCTGGGGCACTCTGGCCTGCCAAGAGCTGTGAAATTGTTGAGGAGCTGTGCCTCCAAGTGAAAGAACTACAGGAGGAGGTCAGCAAACTGTGCACAATCTGAAAGGATGAGAAAGCAATCAACTGGCACTTATGTGTTGATGCACGTAATTTGCTCTCATGAATCCAATACCTTCCCAAAATAAGTATCATCCAGAGTGATTTCCCACTGCTGTAAAAGGAGGGCTAAGGTTATAGCAAAGATGAGACAAATGGTGATGATAAAGGAGGAAGTGGCAAATTTAAGAAAGAGAGAATGAAAATTAGCCAAAGGTAACGTTAAGAGAATGAGCTTACTTAACAGATTTTTTTCTTCTATTCACATTTAGATGTTTCTATTTTAAAAACATTTAGTGAACATGTTAAAAATACTATAGTGAATGAGACAAGTAAAACAATTTGGAGCTTAAAGTAATGAAAAATCTTCCAACCACGCAGAAAAAAACCCAACCAATAACAAATCAAAATTAAATGCCATCACAAAAAAAAGATGCTGATGCTAGAATGCGAATAAACAATGAGAAAAATAAGTACTCCAGAATATACATATAAATTGTATACTTTGATATCTAGTAATGTTTAAAACAGGAGTGGGATCTTACTTCACTACCGACATCTTAATATAATAGTTACCATAAACAATAATACTGCTTTAATAGTGTCTTATTAATTGAGGAACTGCCTTGTCATTGAGTGCTCTGAATGGATCATCAGCTGCTGACTTGTTATTTTCTTTGATGCTCATTTATGGTGACGTGCCAACCTTATCTTTTTTAAAAAAATTGTATCTTCTCCATTGCCTCCCTGGGCTAAATACAGATTAAATTAATATTTAAAGTATTACTTCAAAAACAAAATCATAATTATAATCATGAGACCTTAAACAAATCTTAGAAATATGCTATGCTTAAATATCTGAATGCAAAAATTAAAGTCACAATGTACTTTTGCAAAAGTAGTAATAGAAGGAATATAAACCCGTTTTTCATGTTCCTGGGAAAAAAACAAATGCTAGAGAGAGATTTAATAAGTCAGTTGTCTACTGACAAAGTATCTTGGTATTCTTTTTTTCTCTATAATGGTCAGTCAGCCCAAAGGAAAGGAAGGCAACATTTCCATTTATTGACTTTCTATCTACTATTGAACTAAAATAGTATGGGGTTTATAGGGTGACTGTTAATCCTATTTGGGATGGGATAGGAAATCACAGGCATCCAAACAGAGTGGC